ATATCTGTGTGTGTTGTATGTTAGTAGGTCTGGAATGACCCAACTGGGATTTGCTGGAGATCTGCAAAAATCTTGACATCCACCTGAAGCGTTTTCTATGTAAAAAATAGATTTACGAACAGGAACATTTATTGTCTTATTTGTAACAGGTGAAAAATAGATAAAATGTAAATGCTGAATATGGTGTGTCACTTGATGGGATATATACAGCCGTTAAAAATGGTGTTTATAAGTAGTTTATAATAATATGGAAATGCTTCAGTTAAAACGCTAGCTGAGAAATCACGACACAAACTTTTATATACAGAGTGACTGAAATTATATTAACATAAATGTCTACATAGAAAAAGGCTTGAAAGTAAATAAGCTGTGATGGAATAAAAGTGACAGATTAAATATGTACTTCGCCTTCCCCTTCACCACAAATCACTAGATGAAAAGATATTTTTAAGAAAGGAAGAAAACAAATCCAAAGCAATACAGTTTTTTTAAAAACTTGATTAAAATTATGAGGAATTCTTGGAAGATAGATAGGGTCACCTTGCAAGTGAAAACCACAGTCCAACCTGCCTTCAGAGGAGGACAAGGGTAAAAGGCAGGAGCAGCTGTAGGAACTCCAAGTTCAGAGGCAACAGACAGAGGAGGGGGGGCCTGGGCAACTGTCGCAACACAGGTACTTGCATTTGGAGAAGACAGGCCATTAGATCTCGTCTCCAAATTACTGCCATTTTCCCCAGGCACCTCCTCAGAAAAAGCCTCAATGCTAAGAAGGTAATCATAAGAAGACCAGAAGCAATTCGATTAACACAATAAAAGGAATGAAAGAAGAATTAAAAAGCGTAATGAAAAGCACAAAATAAGATGGGGGCGCCTAGGTGTCTTAGTCATTTTAGCATATGATTCTCGATTTCGGCTCAGGTATGATCTCATGTTTTCATGGGTTGGAGCCCCCTGTCAGTCACTGACCTCGCTAGAGCCTGCTTGGGATTCTCCTTCTCTCCCTCTCTCTCTGCCCTTCCCCGGCTCATTCTCTCTCTCTCTCTCTCAAAATAAAAAAATTTTAAAAAAAGATTTTAGGAATTAATCAATCAATCAATCCAGGGTGACTCAGTGAGTTGAACGTCTGACTCTTGATTTCAACTCAGGTCATGATCCCAGGATCATTAGATTGAGCCCTACATTGCGTTCTGTGCTGAGTATGGAACCTGCTTGGGATTCTCACTCTTTCCCTCTGCCCCTCTCTCCCCTGCTTGTGTACACACTCTCTCTCTCTTTCAAAAAAAAAATTAAGTCTGAATGTATGTGAATGTTCCCAATAGATGAGCATGGGTTAAATTCCTCTATTAAAAGGTGACATTTCTAAAAAAGAGGTGGCACCTGGGGGGCTCAGTCGGTTAAGCGTCCAACTTCGGCTCAGGTGATGATCTCACAGTTCGTGGGTTTGAGCCCCGCGTCAGGCTCTGTGCTGACAGCTAGCTCAGAGCCTGGAGACTGTTTCAGGAGATTCTGTATCTCCCTCTCTCTCTCTGACCCTCCCCTGTTCATGCTGTCTCTTTCTCTCAGAAATTTAAAAAAAAAAATGCATAAATAAAAGGTGACATTTCTCAAGTGAAATTTTTTAATTTTTATTTTTAAATGTTTATTTATTTTTGAGAGAGAGTGAGGGAGGGGCAGAGAGAAAGGGAGACAGAGGATCTTAAGTGGGCTCTGCACTGACAGGAGAGAGCACGACACAGCATCCAGCTCCCAAACCGTGAGATCGTGACCTGAGCTAAAGTTGGACACTTACCTGACTGAGCCATCCAGGCGCCCCTCATGTGAAATCTTTCTGAAACCCAGCTAAATATAGTTCACAAGAGACACAAATCGAACAAAAAGGCATAGGGAGATTGACAAGAAAGGAATAGCAGGCAAATGTCAAAGGCAAACAAGTATGATAATGGTATAATTAGACAAAATACAATTTAAGGCAAAAAGCCTTTAAGATGGAAACTGATTCATAATTGATATTAATAAAATATATAGGAAAGAAAAATTATAATAGTCATTAGCCTTTATGTACTAATGTAAGTTTGAAATTGGCAAATTCACAAGGTTACTAACTGTAACATATATGTTTCTGATACCACACAAGATATAAGTAAGAAAATATAGAGGAATTCAAATAATAATTGGCAGAGAAATCTCAATAAATTCTGAAGAGCAGAAATCATGTGGGCCATCCATATTCACTTACATTCAATAAATACAGAAATTAACATAAAAGTATAGACCCCCTCCCAAATATTATATATATGACAATTTTGAGTCCCCTTATAAAGTGACTTTTGGAAGAAGAATCAACAACATCAGCACTTTGCAGAAGAACAAAACTGTGGAATATGGTCAAAGCATTAGTCAGAGGACAAAGCACAATTTTTCAGAAAGGAGATAGTTGAAATAATGGGATGAGCTTTCAACTCAAGAAGATAGTAAAAGAAAAACATCAATAAACCCAAAGTGGAAAGAATAAAAAATAAATAAAAGCAGAAATTATGAAATTGAAAACAAAGAAAATCAACAATGAATGTAAAAGAAATACACCAAATTCTGAAGATGGTTTTCCTTCGGTAGTAGGACTGGGATTTTTTTCCCTTGAATTTTTACTCTTATCTACTTCCCAGATTTTTTATAAAAAGGATACGTTGCTTTTATAGTTAAAAGTCTATTTTATTTATTTATTTTTTAAATGTTTGTTTATTTTTGAGAGAGAGAGAGACAGAGTGTGAGCAGGGGCAGGGGAGGGACAGAGAGAGGGAGAGACACTAACTCGAAAGTGGGCTCCAGGTTCCGTGCTGTCAGCACAGAGCCCAATGCGGAGCTCAAACTTATGAACTGTGAGATCATGACCTGAGCCGAAGTCAGATGCTTAACAACTGAGCCACCCAGGTGCCCCTAAAAGTCTACTATTTTAAAATGCCCATTTCGAAAAACATTCCATGCTCATGGATAGGAAGAATAAATATAGTTAAGGTGTCATTACTACCCAAAGCACTCTACACATTCAGTGCAATTCCAATCAAAATTGCACCAGCATACTTCTCAAAACTAGAACAAACTATCCTAAAATTTGTATGGAACCACAAAAGACCCCGGATAGCCAAAGTAATACTGAAAAATAAAACCAAAACGGGAGGTATCACCATCCCAGACTTTAGCCTCTACTACAAAGCTGTCATCATCAAGACAGTATGGTATTGGCACAAAAACAGACACAGAGACCAATGGAAGATAATTGAGAACTCAGAAGTGGACCCAAAAGTATACAGCCAACTAATCTTTGACAAAGCAGGAAAGAATATCCAATGGAAAAAAGACAGCCTTTTTAACAGATGGTGTTGGGAGAACTGGACAGCAACATGCAGAAGAATGAAACTAGATCATTTTCTCACACCATGCACAAAAATAAACTCAAAATGGATAAAGGACCTGAATGTGAGACAGGTAACTATCAACACCCTAGAGGAGAAAGCAGGAAACAACCTCCTTGACCTCCACCGCAGCAACTTCTTACTTGACACATCCCCTAAAGCAATGGAATCAAGAGCAAAAATAAACGATTGGGACCTCATCAAGATTAAAAGCTTCTGCACAGCCAAGGAAACAACCCACAAAACTAATAGGCAACCAACGGAATGGGAAAAGATAGTTGCAAATGACATATCAGATAAAGGGTTAATATCCAGAATCTATAAGGAACTCACCAAGCTTCACACCCGACAAACAAACAACCCAGTGAAGAAATGGGCAGAAGATATGAACAGACACTTCTCCAAAGAGGACATCTAGATGGCCAACAGACACATGAAACGATGCTCAGCATCCCTCCTCATCAGGGAAATACACATCAAAAGCACACTGAGATACCACCTCACGCCAGTCAGAGTGGCTAAAATGAGCAAATCAGAGAACTCTAGATGCTGGCGAGGATGTGGAGAAACGGGCACCCTCCTACACTGTTGGTGGGAATGTAAACTGGTACAGCCCCTCTGGAAAACAGTGTTGAGGTTCCTCAGGAAACTAACAATAGAACTCCCCTAGGACCCAGCAATAGCACTGCTAGGAATTTACCCAAGGGATACAGAAATGCTGATGCATAGGAGCACATGTACCCCAATGTTCATAGCAGCACTCTCCACAATAGCTAAAACATGGAAAGAGCCTAAGTGTCCATCAACGGACGAATGGATCAAGAAGATGTGGTTTATCTATACCATGGAATACTACATGGCAATGAGAAAGAAGGAAATCTGGCCATGTGTAGCAACATGGATGGACCTTGAGGGTGTTATGCTGAGCGAAATAAGTCAGGCAGAGAAGGACAAATATCATATGTTTGCACGTATAGGAGGATTAGGAGGAACTTGACGGAGGACCATGGGGGAGAAGAAGGGGGGAAATGGTGGGAGAATGGGGGAAAGGGAGAGAGGCAAACCATGAGAGACTCTTGAATGCTGACAAAAACTGAGGACTGATGGATGTGGGGGGGAGGAGGGATGGGTATGGAGGAGGACGCTTGTGGGGATGAGCACTGAGTGTTATGTGGAAACTAATTTGACAATAAACTATTTGTAAAAAAATAAAAAATAAAAAAAACAAAAATAAAATGCCCATTTCCTTCCTAGAGAAATGGCTGATGCTAGGGCTGGAGCAGGAAAAATAAAAGATGAACCTGGAGCATCATGGTTTGCCAGAAAGTAAGCAAAAAAGAGAAAGAAAGAAAAAATGGATGGAGGGATGTCAAAGGACAAAGGAGCTGAATTCAAAGAGCCCCCAGTGGCCAAAGCTGAAAGAGATGAGCAACAAAATCAATAACATAGTATTGAATTTTAACCTAACGTATAAAATAAATATATATGTATCCATATTGATACCAAAAAAGTGCCTAAATAACTAACTACATGATGAAAAAGAAAGAAGCCTTCTATCCAGAAGAATTCTAAATAATATTTCCTTTGCAGGAGCTGGACAAGAATCTCTCCTCCCCCAGCTTGATGATAGGCTGGACTTGGAGTCTTGTGCCAAAGCATCAAATGTAGAAGAGGAACTCTAGTGCAGTTTCTTCACGGTACAGAACACAGCAGACATTGCCCTAACCAAGTGATCAAGGTTAACATCACCATGTAAGTCATGCGCTGTCATGTACTCCCGGATATGATGAGATATGAAGGGCACTTCACCTCCGGGGAATTCTTCCCCCAATCCCATCATCCCTGCCTAATGATGAGGAAAACATTAGACAAACCCAAACTGAGGTACATTCTACAATGTCTTGACCAATACTCTTCAAAACTGTTAAGGTCATGAAAAATAAGACTGAGGAAATGTCTGGAAAGGGAGAGGACTGAGACATGAATATTAAATACAATGTGGTATCCTGGCTCTGATCCTGGCATAATTAAAGGACATTAGTAGAAAATTTGGACAGTTATGTATAAAGCAGAGAGTTTAGTGTGATACTGCACCAGTGTGAATTTCTTAATTTTTATAAATGTGCTGTTGTTTGACATAAAATGTTAACATTAGAGGAACCAAGTGAAGAGTGTACGGGAACTCTGTGTACTAGCTTTGCAACTTTTCTGTAAATCTCAAATTATTCCAAAATAAAAAGTTAATTAAAAAGAACTTTTTTTTTTTTACTAACTATACATACCTTAGAGGATTTTCAGTGTAGAATTTCTGCTACTAAAATTTCACAACGTTAAATTAGCTGTACATTTAGAGGTTGTAGGTAACTTTCATGAAATTTGGACTGTTCTTCGACTTTCTGAAAGAATATGCTCCCATTACACCATGGGGACCTCTAGACACACTTCCAAGGCCGCAGGAGTCACAGGAGGGAGCCCCCTCCTCCCTCCCATGCCGAGCCCTGGAGGACCCCTCCTGGCATGCTCTCTGAGGATGGGGACAGTTGGCCCCGTCGTGTCTCTGGCATGGCTGACACTTGCTACCAGAGCAGGGAGTAGGGATTTGAACTGATATCTCTGAGTACATTAGAAATAAGGAGGTTAGCCCTTCCTCTGATAAGGACTTGAGTCTGGCCCTCCTGGTGGTGACCAGTGCCCACCAGCCCACACCCCCATTCCAGCCAATCTTAAGCGTTGCAAAGCAGGGATTGTGCTGAGATGAGGTTCTGGCCTCTAGTCTTTCTAGAGGACTCTGGCCTCTCCAGTCTCTCCAGCCCTTTGTCTTCAGGGATATCAGCATAGGAAATAGAGGCTCCTGGGGCCAATGAACTCAGGTGCTTTCTCTGTTCCTTGAACAGAAGCCTGGGGCCGTAGCAGTCATGAATCTCTGCTCATCACCCTGAGTATTCTGCTATATAAGAGCTCCATCCCATTTCTACTTGCCTTTTGGGACACTCCCCTTAAGCTCACCCTGTTCCCTGCCCACCACATTCTCTAGCCCTTTTTTGAGTCGTCAAAACTCTAGGCAAAATGTGATATCTTTAGTGTCACCTGTAATATCCTCCAAATAACCCCTCCTCAGGCAAGATCCTGCCTCTCCAACTAGGTTCCTTGTAACAAAAAGTCTTGGAGGAAGGCAGGGGCTCACACTCCCAGGAGAGGGCAGACAGAGGGGCATGGGGTAATGATTACAGTAAGAGGGAGAAGACCCAGGAAGGGGAGTGCACACTACATGGGCTGTGTGGGTGCACACTCAGGGACCTGACAGGAAGCCAGAAGTATCTATTCTGTAAATAAATATATGTCACGCAGAAAAAGTAGAGGCAAGTATCCAAATGCCCCTGTATGGCCTAGAGAGAGCCTGAGGGGAAAGCAGAGTCACAGACTGGAGCACTGGAGAGCTGTGGTCCCATAAAAATCTTTCAGTAGGTTTTCGTCAATTTCAGCCCATTTTAGACCAAGCCACCCGTACCATCTCCTCTTGATGCACATTTGTCGTGATGAATTATATGTTTCTACAAGGGGCTTGCTCATAGTTCTGACATCTGTTTGGAAATTCTGCAGCTGTCCTGACACCGAGAGCATGTTATGCAATTTTGAGGTGCTCCAGAAGTACTTACAAATTGACAGACTGACACTGAACAGCAGGATTACATGAGCCTTAAAAATGCATTCATCTGATCTCTGAAAGTGCTGTCATCTTACATATGCCATGGACTTTTCTATTGTAAAACATTTCAAATGAATGGAAAAGAACAGAGTAATACATCCACCACCCATATTTCACAAATATTAGCATTTTGCCCTATTTCACTTTTTTTTTAAGTAAAACATTACAGGGGCACGTGGATGGTTTAGTCAGTTAAGCGTCTGACTCTTGATCTCTCAGCTCAGGTCTTGAGTTATGAGTTCACTCAGGGTTGTGAGTTCAAGCCCCGTGTTGGGCTCCACGCTGGGCGTGAAGCCTATTTAAAAAAAAAAAGGTAAAATATTACAAATTGAGTAGAAACTCCCTTTTGTGCTTCTCTAAGATCCTGTTCCCCTCCCTCCACTCTCCCCAGAAGAGGCTGCCATCTTAAAATTGTGTGCATACTTCTAGTCCACGTTTTTACATTTTTATTATACTTACATTCATAAATCATATGTATTGTTTTGCTTGTTTTTACACTTTAACAAAAACAGTATTACCTCACTGTACCTCTCATGCTGCAATTTGTTGGTTTTCATTAACTTTATGTTTTTGGAATTGATTCACACACAACACTCGCATCTCTAGTCCATTCACTTTCACTGCATAGAACAGAGCATCTTATTGTGTGAACACACACAATTATCCATTTTCATGTTGATGGACATTTGCATTGCTTTAATTTTCATCTATTACATAAAATGCTGCTGTCAACATCCTGTGCACATCTCACGGTTTGTGGATTTGAGCTCCACATTGGGGCCTGCTCTGGAAGCTCAGAGCCTGGAGCCTGCTTCGGATTCTGTGTCTCCCTCTCTCTCTCTGCCCCTTCTCTGCTCGTGCTCTGTCTCTCTATGCCTCTCAAAAATAAATAAATGTTTAAAAAAAATTTAACTCTATAGTGTAGGAGATGAGAGCTTTCCTCCTAAGGTCAGGAATACAAGGAAGTCCACTCTCACCTCTGTTACTCAACATAGTGGTGGAAGTCCTAGCCTCAGCAATCAAACACAAAGAAATAAAAGGCATCCAAATAGCAAAGGAGGAAGTCAGCCTTTCATTCTTCACAGACAACATGATACTCTGTATGGAAAACCCCAAAGCTTCCATGGAAAAACTACTAAAACTGATCCATGAATTCAGCAAAGTCACAGGATATAAAATCAATGCACAGAAATCTATCGCATTTCTATACACCAGTAATGAAGCAGCAGAAAGAGAAATCAAGGAATCGATCCCATTTACAATTGCACCAAAAACCATAAATACCTAGGAATAAACCTAACCAAAGAGGTGTAAAATCTATACCCTGAAAACTATAGAAAGCTTATGAACGAAAGTGAAGAAGACACAAAAATGGAAAAATAATCCATGCTCATGGATTGGAAGAACAAATATTGTTAAAATGTCAATGCTACCCAAAGCAATCTACATATTCAATGCAATCCCTATCAAAATAACACCAACATTCTTCACAGAACTAGAACAAAGAATCCTAAAATTTGTATGGAACCGGAAAAGACCCTGAATAGCCAAAACAATTCCGAAGAAGAAAACCAAAGCTGGAGGCATCACAATTCTGGACTTGAAGATGTATTACAAAGCTGTAATCATCAAAACAATACTGTACTGGCACTAAAACAGACACATAGATCAATGGAATAGAAAATAGAACCCAGAAATGGACCCACAAATGTATGGCCAATTAACCTTTGATAAAGCAAGAAGAATATCCAATGGAATAAAGACAGTCTCTTCAGCAAATGATGCTGGGAAAACTGGACAGCAACATGCAGAAGAATGAACCTGGATCACTTTCTTACTCCATATATAAAAATAAACTCAAAATGGATGAAAGACCTAAATGTAAGACAGGAAGCCATCAAAATCCCAGAGAAGAAAGCAGGCAAAAACCTCTTTGACCTCAGCCACAGCAACTTCTTACTCAACATGTCTCCAGAGGCAAGCAAAAATGGACTATTGGGTCCTCATCAAGATAAAAAGCTTCTGCACGGTGAAGGAAACAATCAGCAAAACTAAAAGGAAGCCAACAGAATGGGAGATGATATTTGCAAATGATGTATTGGATAAAGAGTTAGTATCCAAAAGCTATAAAGAACTTATCAAACTCAAAACCCAAAAAACACACAATCCAATGAAGAAATGCAAAAAACGTGAATAGACCCTTCTCCAAAGAAGACATTCAGGTGGCCAGCAGATACATGAAAAAATGCTCAACATCACTCATCATCAGGGAAATAAATATCAAAACCACAATGAGCTACCACCTCATACCTGTGAGCATGGCTGAAATTAACAACTCAGGCAACAACAGATGTTGGCAAGGATGTGGGAAAACCGGAACCCTTTTGCACTACTGGTGGGAATGCAAACTAGTGCAGCCACTCTGGAAAACAGTATGGAGGTTCCTCAAAAAATTAAAAATAGAACTACCCTACAACCCAGCAACTGCACTACTAGGTATTTATCCAAAGGATACGGAGTGCTGTTTCAAAGGGGCACATGAACTCCGATGTTTATAACAACACTACTGACAATAGCCAAAATATGAAAGAGCCCAAATATCCACTGACGGATGAATTGATAAGGAAAATGTTGGGGCACCTGGGTGGCTCAGTCAGGTAAGCATAGACTTCGACTTGGGTCATAATCTCACAGTTCATGAGCTGACAGCTCGGAGCCTGGAGCCTGCTTCAGATTCTGTGTTTCCCTCTCTCTCTGCCTTTTCCCAGCTCACACTCTGTCTCTCTTTCAAAAAAATAAATAAACATTTTAAAAAATTTTTAAAGAAGATGTGATTTATATATACAATGTAGTATTACTTGGCAGTCAAATTGAATGAAATCTTGCCATTTGCAACAACGTGAATGGAACTAGAGTTTATTATGGTAAGCAGAATCAGTCAGAGAAAGACAAATATCCTATGATTTCACTTATATGTGGAATTTAAGATACAAAACAGATGAACATAAAGGAAGGGAAGCAAAAATAACATAAAAACAGGAAGGGGGAAAAAACATGAGAGACTCTTAAATACATAGAACAAGGGTGTCTGGGTGGATCATTTGGTTAAGCTACCAACTTCAGCTCAGGTCATGATCTCGCAGTCTGTGAGTTCGAGCCCCGCATTGGGTTCTGTGCTGACAGCTCAGAGCCTGGAGCCTGGTTCAGATCCTTTGTCTCCCTCTCTCTCTGCCCCTCCTCCGCTCATGCTCTGTCTCTCTCTGTCTCTCAAAAATAAATAAATGTTAAAGAAATTTTTTTAAATATATAGAACAAGCTGAGGGTTGCTAGAGGGATTTTGGGTGGGGTGAAGGGCTAAATGGGCAAGGGGCATTAAGGAGGACACTTGTTGGGATGAACATTGGGTGTTATATGTAGGGGATGAATCACTGGATTCTACTCCTGAAATCATTATTGCACTATATGCTAACTAACTTGGATGTA